TAAATTTATTACTTGTTTCATTTGGGTCATATTTAAATATACTTAGAACTGAGAAAATATTACAATTTTGAAACAAAAAATTCTCGACGTACGTGGTACGTCTTTCCAGCGTAAGAGGTTAAGAAAGCGTAGTTAGAGATTAGCTCGGATTAAATCGATGAGAAATAACGGCGAAAATCGTGACCAGTCACGGAGGGGAGAGGGAAAAACCTCGTGCGAAATATTCGTTAACATTCTCAACACGCGGTAATGATCGCCGTGTAAGAAGCGACGGGAGACTCTGACAGTGCGTTAGAAAATTAATAGAACGACCTCAACCATTATAAATGCTTTTGATTATTATTTATTATTAAAGGTAGATCGAATGATTAACGCGTGTTAGAGATTTTAGACCATTCGGCTCTCGCAAGGAAATAATCTCTCGGTTTTTTGACAAAGTTTGTGTTGGATTGTCGTTATTAGGTGTCACGTGGCTGTATGTACAGGGTGGAGTGAAAAGTTTGTCCGTGGCAAAATTTTTGTTCAACCTTGACGTTGAATTTCAAAAATATTTTTCTTTGCATTGTATTCCACTCATCGCGAAAGTAAAACTTTTCCAAGGAACCATAGGTCGGAAACCTAATAGTTCTTTTGAAAAATGACAAAAGTAGCGACTTTACGGTTGTGGATTACGTTTCACTAACTAAATTTGATTTATCACAGTTACAGCATCAGTGTGGATCTAAATAATCAAATGATGAAACTGTTAGCATTATTCGAAATATAAACACTACATCCACATATCCAAAACTATAAAGTCGCTGTCAGAACGCACGCGCAGGGTTGAATGATTAAAAAACTTTTTGGCCATTTTTCAAGAGAACTATTAGGTTGCGATTTGTGGTTTCTTGGAAAAGGAACTTTACCTCGATGATGAATAGAAAAAGAATTTTTTTAACTTGAAATTCCCGATCAAGATCAATTTTTCTTTACACGTATTTTACATCTGTTTTGTACAAACTGCCCAGCTCGTCCTGGCCAATCACATTTGCCTGGCAACGTCAACTGTTCCAGACATTTCTAGAACTTTTTGAAGGTATCTTTGTTAATATCGAGAAACAGGTCTTGACCTACGCGGGTGTTTCAAACTACTTGATCTAGCAAACATATTTTTCGAAAATTGTCAAAAGAAACACTGACTAGATTGTGACTCAGAGCTCGAGGATGTTTAACATTCTTACGCCAACATTAGGAATTAGTTAATTACATTCGGTACGGTTGCGAAGTGAAATCCCTCGGTAAATTGAACGTGTGCGTTAAACACACGGACGGAAGTGGTTGTGGTTTTCGCGTGAACCGTTATGTTTGCACAAGTTTCGTAATCTACGGCATTGTTTTAATTAAACGCAGTCTAAACCGACTGCTCCGGTATTACGCGTATTTCCTCGGTAAATTGCGATTTGCTGCTGGATCTCTTCGGCATCTCTTCGATTTTCACTTCCATCTGTTCGTGGAAGCAGGCGAAACGATCGAACTGGAACCGGCTAAATCTGACGTAAGCTCTCGTTTTTCGACTTGGCTGGACCATCGTGCCGAAACGAGCGATACGTTCGCCGACCTCGAGAATAGATTTAGTCAAAGCCAACGTGACGAGGATCTTTCACCCAGCGAGTCCGAGTCGCCTCGCAGTTCCCTGAGTGTCGTCGTATTTTCAACAGGTCGGGCTTAACGCTCGATCGGATTATCGGGCAACGGAAGGAGAAGGTGGATGAAAGCAGCGGTTCGTTAGGCGCTAACCGTGTCGTTGCATCGATCAGTCCCACGGTCTGGCCCGGTGTAATAAGCGGATAAGCGGGCGCGACAATCGGAACGATTTGTCAGCGAGAAGAACGACGTTCGTCTGTCGGTGCCCTCGAGTCTTGTTCCCATAATCCACCGAGAGAGAGAGACTGTCAATAGAATCGACTCGTTGACACTCGCCTGTTCCCATTCGGGAAATGCGAAATTGTTAACACGGGCTATATACATTCCTCTCTTTTTTTTTTTCGTCCCTTTCATCTCTATCTTATTTTTATTCGCGGTTTAACTGACGTTCCACGTTCCTGTTGATACAATTGTCGATCGTTTCTAAGCAAGTTCATCGGTAGATTTAGCATCGTTTAGCAGATACAGAAGAGCTTCGGATAACGCCCTTGCGGCCGATGGGCACAGACGTGGGACGTGGGCGAAGCCGGACGTTGTTTCGGTAACCAGCGAAAACGCTGGCCAACCGTAGGCGGTAGCGGGCAATTCCGAAATCGACTTTTCGATTTACAAAACGCGCAGCGGTGGGCGAGCTGGGCCCCCGGATCGGTGACGAGAACGCCACGCACCTTTGCCAACACACGCGCGTGTATATCTGGGGCCCCCACCCCGGCGCCAACTTATCACCGACGAATCGCTCGCGTAGGCGATCACTTCCGGTCCGGACGGTCTCGCTCGATCCGGTCCCTCTCCAAGGCAACAACGCGCCATCCCATCGGCCGCTGTTTATCCTCCGCTGTTTCTCCCGCAAAGCTCGCGCGGCCGATCTTTCGGATTAATCCGAATCCTCGGCTGCGTACCTGCTTGCTGACGGGACGTTAATCCCGTCGATCGGAGTTTAAAGGGTAACCAACACAAGTGTCGAGGGGGTATTTAAAAATAAGAAGGAAAGCCGCGCGTCGACGTGGAAGAGCGTGGCGACGAGTCTCGAGGACGGAGGATCGCTTAAGATTCCGTCGGCGTTTCGCGGAAGTTCGTACTTCCTCGAGGAGGCTTTTCGGGCTCTCTCTCTCCCCCTCCCCTCTCCCCCTATCCCGGTTCATCGGGTAATCCCATCACGCGCCTTGTTCTCCTCGCTTTCGTGTACTTTTTACAGCTCGTGTTCACCGGCGGATAATCGGTTTCCTCGCGACACTCGCCCCGGAGCGAGTGTCGCGTCGAACGAGTTCCCCCGGATTTATGATTCTCGTTTATGAGCCGCTTTTAAAAAGCCAAAGAGCTTTCCTTCCGGTAAAAAANAAAAAAAAAAAAGAAAAGTCGCGGCCGCGCGCGATGCACTATTTATACGGGCCATTAGCTTACGATCTCCTCCCTCGCTCTTCTATAAATACCGGCCGCGCATTGCAATAGCAGAGGAACCTCGTTTCTTCATTTCGAAGAGCTCGGGGCTCGTAAAGCTTGAAGCCTGGCTCTCGTCTCGACGCTGTCTCATCTATTCCATCGGGCTGTGAGAAACGACGATATCGCGACGATCGTCACGTTGCGAACCCGATGTTATTTCATCCAACAGGCTCTTGATCTAGCTCGCGTGCTCTCGCCTCTTGCGCGGAAGATAGACCGTCGAGCGGATATAATTCATTTCGTTACAGTTACGTTCGTCACACTTACTTGTTGTCTCCGTTTCGTCGAAATGCACAAACGAGTGTTTGTCGTCGTTTACGATGCGTCGGGTTTTATACGTAAGCGACCGAGAGGTCCCAGTCGGTCAAGGTTCTTCGAGAGCGCAGCGCTACCGGGGGCCGAATCGTAGCCGCCTGGCCACACGGACCAAGCGAGCGAACGAAGCGAGTTAGGGATCGGTGGCCAGCCGAAAAAATTCGCGGCAGTAAACCACCGCGGTACACCACCGCTCGTTATCAATCGTGCGCGGTAGAGCATACGAGCTGACTCGGGGCACGCGCCTGGCGGGGTCGTAGGCCGCCCCACCCCTATTCTCCGGTATATCCCCCCTGTCCCGCAGCGGAGAAAGAGGTGCCCCGAGTAGCTCGTAGGGAGAAGGACAGACGCGCTTGTCCCCACTTGGCCGCAACGTGGAACGGGGCCCCGCGGGCCCAGTCCTCCCACTCGATGCTGCCCCCTCCTCCCACCAGACCCGTGCAACCCCCACCACCGCGCCGCCAAGCAGTCCTCGACGATTCCCCTCGACCCGCCTCTGCATCGTTTTGCACTCGATGCACGAGATGCCTCGCGACAGTGGCTCTCTCTTCTTCTCCCTCTTCTTCGCCGGACGAAATCTCGTTCTTTTCTCTCCGATTTCTCTTTGAAGCTTCCTTCTCGAGACGAGGAGAGTCTGGAGAGTCTGGAGAGTCTCGAGAGTCTCGATAGTCGCTGATTCTCGAAGCATTCTCGTAGCCTGAAAACGAAAGACCTCGGATTTTGAAAACCTCCGGCGTTGTTCGCGATGATTCGCTGGAATCGGTCGGAGCACGGGTGAATCGTTGAAACGGCTTGGAAGGTTCGACGTTTAGCCGGAGCGCGAGAGAACGAGAGAGGGCGAGAGCCCGTGCACGGGGCCTCTCCCTTCGCCGTGGGCTCGGTGTCACGGGCCAGCGCGAGCGGCCGTAATGCGGCCCACACGCGCGCTCCACACTGGCGCGCAAATCGCATAAACACGCGCGCCGACGCATACACGCACGGTGGGGTAGAGACGCTAAGCGACGAAGCGGTCCTACCTCCTGCAGGGGACCGTGTCACGTGGCCCCCAGGCCGTGTAGCAGCACGCAGCGCACGGGCTGTGCTCTCTCGTGAGCGGCGCACACAACACCAGTCAGAGACGAGCCGAGAGACCGGGCGCAGATCGCACTCTCTCCCAGGAAGCGCGTGCTTTCTCCCTCCCTCTCTCCGTCTCTCTCTCTCTGTCTCTCTCTCTCTCCTTTTTTTTTTTTAATCCGTCCCTCTCTGTCTGTCCGTTCATTCGTTCGTTCGCCACTCGTCTTCCTCTCGCTCTCTCCCCTTTTTCCCCATTTCTATCGCGTGTCGTGCCGCGACACGACACGACGCGCCGTGCCGTACCGTGCCGCGCCGCGCCGTATCGTATCGTGCTGCACCAGCTACCGATCGATCCGCCATCCGTCGATCCGTAGCCACCCTCGTTCGCGTCTCTTTGGCTGAATCGAGCTGTCGAGTGTCCCAAGTTCGAGTTTCATCGCCACGTGCGCGCTCGCTCGCGCGTCGACGCGACCCTCGCCATCGTGCGTATTTATAGTGCGCGAACACGGTCACCCCGGCGGCCGCGTATGTGCGTGCCTGTGTGTGTGTGTGTGTGTCGTCATCGTGCCACCATACCCCGTGGGGTTCCACCGATCGGCAGCAAGAGGAAGAGGAGGAAGCAAAAGAGAGAAGAGAGTTTTGTTGCAATCCGGCTGACCGGATTCCTTTCAGTGTTTTCGGTCGATCCAACTCTATAGTATATACATCGACTAACGAATTGTGCATTGTGCGTCGATGGTGTGCGTCAACGCGTCGATCCAGACGACAGCAGATCTTGTCACCGCCGCAGCCGCACCTCGATTAACGAGGAGGCCTCGCCTAACATGCTCCTGCTCGATCGCCGACGTTCCGGCTGCACCTCGCGGATGAAACTGAATGGTGCGCATCCTGCCCGTTATCTCGTCGGTAGTCTGCTCTTCGGTGTCGTCTGTGTCACTCTGCTGCTGGCGTCATGTCTGTTCTCTGATTAGTGCCTGATCCGTGCAACGACGACGAACGTGTAAAATGCTCGACCGATTGTCGGGAACAAGGATCTCTCGAGGCTACTTGCCCCGATACGCCCGACGGAACAATCGTTGTTCGAATCAACCGAATCGCCCTCGATCGTGTAAAGCCCCATTAACATCGTGAAATGCGAGCGTTCGTACGTTCGGATGTTGGTCCAACAACGTTTTTACGACGTCGACTCTCGCGATATAGTAAAAAGAACACGGCTTACTTACGCTCGCGCGAGTTAAACTGGTTAAAAGGCTCGCTTACGCCGGTCGGAAATCCGAGAAGATTCGCCTCTTCTTTATTATCAGTTGTTGACGATCCCCGGATAATTAAAAGCTGCGCCCGAGGACCTGCTCCCGATCGTTGTATATTTCCGTATCTCGATCATCTATCTCCTGTGTATGTGTGTGTGTGTGTATGTGTATGTAATTGCCTTGCTGTCGCTTCATTGCAGTCGAAGAGATAAAAAGGAGGATCAGTTTTTACGTTCCGTTTCGTCGAGTGGATTTTAGACAACGGAAGGATCGATCTGACTAGTGACTAGCTAGTGAAAAGCGGTCTGGTTCTCTCTATAATCGAGACGGTGTTTTTCGAACGAAACGGTGGTTTCTTTCGAAACGTCTGAAAGAAACGCGACCGCGAACGTCATCTCAAGAATAAATCGGCGCCGCTAACGAGTCGGCCGGACAGAAATTTATGACACGGCGAGTCCCGATGCGGCGGGAGGCAGTTCGATAAATAACCCAAGTCGCGAGAGACGAGAACGATGACGAGGTGTGAGGGCCGCGAAGACGAGGATCGAACACGTGGCTCCTTGTGGATCCTCCTCGTGCCGCTCGCTGCCCTCGGGCCTGAACGAAGCGATTCCTATCGGTCAGCCAGAATCTGATAATTAAATCGACCGCCACCGATATTAATTGAATCACTTCGCTCGGACTCGATCTGCAAACCGGTGTTTCGTCCGTTATGACTTGTTTCCTGACTCTCCGATCGTCCTGCCGATTTCCACCGGTCCGTCGCCCGGTGTACTTTGAATCCTCTCGCCGCCCGAAACAGCTTTCGCGTCGCGATCGTCCGTTTAATTGGCCTGGACATCGTTAACGACGAGAGTTTTGCCACCATTTGCCTTCCACTCGACTCCTCGACTTCTCGCGGCTCGATCGAGTCGAGTCCCAGCTGTCGCGCTCGTAGTAGTGCTTGTTAAAGTGAATTGACTCCGTCGATATTATTCGGCTCGTCAAGTAACTGTGCTTCGTCGGAGGCACGTCGCGCGCTCCGAGTGGCCAAGAGCTGTCAGTGTTTCGACGATTGGAATATTCGCTGGATCCGGTTTCGTTCGAAATCCTCTCGCGCTAGCTGCCGACGATTTCTGTCGGTGGACGATTTTCGTTTAACGGATCCAGCTTTCACCGTGCTTCCAAGATGGTCTCTTATTTTCCCTTTTTTTTATTTGTTCTTTCGAACGAGTTCCTTACCGATTACCGAGTCCGCGAGTCCATCGTGACGTGGCCGCAGCCTTCGTTATTGAGTCGTCGCGCGGAGAGTTTCGCGTGAAAGTTTCGTGAGATCTCCGAATCCCCGAATCCGGTTGTCGGTTGTCCCTTCGATAAGATCGAGGAGCCGTTCGTCGTCGAGAGCGCGGGGAATCGCGCGATAGCGGTGTCCGATCGGGAACGTTTCGTGCTACGGAGCAAGCCGGACGTTTCGAGGCGCCGCGAGGATAAATTCGTACGCGAGCGACCGTAGTGAAAGATCACGGGAAGATCGGCACGATCAGATAAGAATCGGCTGGGTACTCGGGGGCTGATGGGTCCGTGACGACGAAAAGAGTCTTTGGAAATGCGTGTCGAGGCCGGAGTCTCGTGGGAGGGGCCAGGCGATTCCTCTCCGGCGTCACGAGGGTCCGGCCGCGTCTCGCCTCTCCGCAAACCGGCCGATTTCTCTTTCGCAACCCCCTTTACTTTTTCTCCGAGAGAGACTCGACCGTGGCTCGGCTGCTTTTAACTTTTACATTTTCCACAGTTTCGCCGTCGAAGCGATTCCGACTATAGACAAAGACCTCCTTTAAAATCCCTTGTCCTGCGTTAATTTCGCAACTCGATCAACGTAACGGGCCAACGCAACGTATAACTAATTAAGCGAATTACCGATCACCACCGGTTAAGAGCGACGAGCTGGTTCGAAAATCGAGACGAAGAACGATCGACGAGCATGCCATCGGATCCCGTTCCCCTTGGTTATAACAGTGATTACGATAATCACGTGGCGCGCCCGATCCACCGCTACCATTAATCCGGCGTAACTGATTGCGATTGCGCAATCGACCGCGATAACGCGATAATCTCGGCTAATGACCGCGCCGGCCGCGGTAATACGCGATACCAAACCGATACTTACGGGGAACGTTAACTCGCGGAGCGTGTGTCCGGCTGCGAAAACTGGTCAGAAAACGTGGAATCGAATCGTGGCGGCTAAGTATACCTTGGGAAATTGCGATAATGGATTGTCTGGTGGATCAAGAAGCTGGTATTACGTATCAATTATGCGAGAGCGGTGCATCGTTGTTCATATTTAGAATCGATCGAGCCGAAAATTTTCCGATCTCTTCGGTTCCGTGGGCGATCGATCGTTGACAATTCGTTGAAAAATCGCGGCGACGACGGGAATTCGTCTCTCGGAAACTTGGAACGGTGGAGGAGACGTTGCGAAAATTTCATCAGGATTACGTAGGATTTCGCGCAGAGACACGTTCCCCGGTGGGCGACGAGGATAATTAAAAATGTACATAATAATGGGGGGAGCGGGGGGCGAAGACGCGCGATTACGTGGGCGCTTATTTAGTGCGCGCCGACCAGCTCGTATCTCCGCGCGATCGCGATCGCGCTCGGGCTTCGATAATTTCGGGTGTTAATTAAACGTCGTCTCGTCGTGGCTGCGTGGGTGCGTGGCGATCGCGCGCACGTTTCGAGAACGTTCCGGCGAATGTTTTTTTTTTTTGTCAACTTTCACTGTCGCTGCCAGCCGACTTCTGGTGCGCGCCGGGCGTGTTTTAATGCTCGCGCCCGATGATGGTTATTAAGCCCCCGGGTTCGACGAAAAGTAACGTCCGGCCGGTGGCGAAACTCGTCTCGCGTCTTCCTCTGCCACCGCGCTCGCGCTCTCACCGACACTGTCGCGCGCGCGCGCACGCGTGTACCTGCCCACTGCGATTGCGCGTCGCGCGGCGCATCGCTTGCCCTGGCATCGATGTCTCCAGCCGAACACGACCACTCTCCTTCCTTTTGTTCGCAATTTGCTGAAAAGTTGATAAAGTCGAAAGTGGTCGCGCGATCGTAGAACACGGTTTCAGGGACGATTACGAAGCGACGAATCGAACTGTTGGTAATTGCGCGAATCCCTAGGACAGGGATGGCCATACTTTTGTGACCGTACGTGCCAATCTTTCCTCGAGCGAGCTCCGATGCGCCGCTAAATTATTTCAACCCCTTGCGCTGGCAACTGGTTCGCGGACCATAACGAGCGACCGAACCGTATACAACAATTTGTCGTTTTCTTTCTCTTTGGGACTTCTCGTCGGTACGATGTCGCTGGATGGAAATTATTGAGAAGTAATATAAACTTATCATTTGTTTCGCCTGGGTTGCATTTAAATTTTACTTGAAACTTGAGAAAATGTTGCAATTTTGGGGAAAAAGAATTCTCGACGTGCGTGGCACGTCGTTCCAGCGCAAAACGGCGAAAGTACAAGAAATAAAATAGTGAATATATAGGAAGGACATTGGGAAAAGACAAATTAACTTTAACAAATAACAGTAATATCTTATATTGACACATTGTTGATCGGTCATCAGTTGACTCGTGTCTGCATTAGCTATTTTAATTTGTTCAACCGTGTTTACTTTATTGATAAAAAAAAATTACTTTTATTGACATCTAGGTTTTTATCGCAATTTTAATGTTCGCGATGGTCCGGAAGAATTCGATCAATTATACATGCAGACGAGTGATTTTGAGATATATTGTAGCGATGTGGAAATTGATAATTTATCGGGAAACAGATTATAAATCGAATATTGCATATATAGTACAAAACATGTGTATTATTACACATAGGTGATATAATTTATCACACCAGAAAAAAAAATCAATAAATTATATCTATAAAATACAGTACATACAAGAGATATACAAAGTTTTATTTAAATTCATTCTATACAAATAAAGTACATTAAAGTTTATTTAAATTGTTTCACTTGCATACTCAGTTATGAAATAATAGCCGGTGACATGCGTAAAATTGCCTGTTATTAACAATGTGTTAATACTTGTTCTTACTCTAAATAACTTGCTCTGTACGTCATCAGAAATCATGAAATGCACCCCTTCTCTAAGCGACTTTTGAAGTTTACGTTCTCTATACAGGATCGTCGATTTCATGGTTTGCTTGTAAACACGGTCGTAGTCGTATTTCGTCTTGATGATTCGTTAAATCGCCGATTTTTCCGACGAAAACGCGCCAGCTCGCGTTAAACAACAACGAGGGAAGGATTTTCCACGCCGAGCGTCGAGAATTTTTTTTTTTTTTTCTTGCGTTGCTTTCACTCGACGCGATTTTTCTGAATGGGCAGCCGCCTTCGAGCAGGCGAACGAACAGCTACCTACCTCTCACGTTTTCGAAAGTTCCACGAAGTGAGTTGGAGCGACGCGACGCGACGCGGTTTCCCAGCCCGGTCGATAATTCACCGTAATTTCGCGGCGTGCAACGGCGAAACGCCGCCCACGCGTCCGAAGGAAACCAACGTAGCCAAACAATCAGGCAGAAAGAGAGAGAGAGAGAGAGAGAGAGAAAGATTAAAAAAAGAAAAGAACGAAAGAGAAGGGGACGAGAGGCACCGACGAAAGAAACGAATCGTCCTCGTCCTCGTCCTCGCGTCGCTACCACCCTCGACTCTATTAATTTGAGACGATTAGGCCAACCGATACCTCGGCTGCTAATTGACCATGTGCGCGCGCGCGCGCAGGCCACAAGGGCCGCAGATCGGGGATTAATTAAATCGAATTAAGCTTAATTAGCCGCGACCACTTGCAACCGTGGCGCAGCAAGGTCACACCGTTGGACGAACGCTGTCACGCCCGCCTCCTAATCGCATCTGTCGTCCTCGTTGTCCGATGCAACGTCGTGTGTCACCGATGTGTCTCGAGGATGAAAGATTTCTCAGTCTTTCCTTCGATTCCCAGCTAGCTGTCGCGTGTCGAATAATCAAAACAGGCGGCGATTTCTGTTTCTGATGGGCGGAGCCTGTGCCGCGGTTTTTATTGTTCGCGGCGCGATTCGTCATCACCGCTAATGCCTCGATTAGGCATAATTGGGCATTAGCGAGTCGTTTAGTCGAGCGTATCGCGCGAAACGCGACGAGTCGTACGGATTCCTCGCGTAGAACCAGAGGTATATAGGCGTGAAGGTGAAATCAATTCGCGCGGATTCGCGAGCGAGTGAAATTCGAGCCATGCTTCGCGCGCGCGCACCGAGTCGGGAGAAAGTGTTACGTCACAGCGGGCGATTGTTCAAACGTTGACGATTAATTAAAAAGCAGTGCGTTTAAAAACGTAATCGCGTGCACGCGGGTAAAAGCGAGTAACAGGCGTTCCAGCAGAGACACAGCAGAGACTCGCCAGAGAAGAGGGATCGAAGAGCAGACTACGGGACGCTGTCGAGTGCTGCAAGCTGACAATTTCCTCGAAGAAAAATTATTCGCGAGTTCCTCGAGGACTTATTGACACTCGCAGCGCTCGGAGAGGAAGGAAGGCAGTCGATCGTCGGCGAGAGGATCGACGATTCTCAATGCCGATGCTTGCAGGGACCGCCAACTATTGGAGCATCGTGACGAGGAGCAGTGTGAATCTTCGCCGAGACGACAGGATTCTATCATCTAGTCAGTGGAATAAATCGGATCAGCTGTGATAATGTGCGAAACTTAGTGCTCGTCGGGGAGGGTTGGAATTCCCGATCCGGGTGAGTGAACGCACGAACGGACACGCGATGAACAGAGAACACGCCAGTGAAGTTTCGAACGCGTAGCGATATATTTCCGAGTTGTATTCGTACACGTACGTAAAGAAGAAGTTGATAGAAGAAGAAGAAAGTTACTAAATATCCGACAATCATGGTTACCTTGGACACGGAGCAGAAGCCCGAGAGGCAGCACTGCGAGCGTCGCATGTGCGCCATTTGCAAACGGATCAAGCGCGACAGAGGTAACGTTTCCATCAGATTTTCCTTTGCAAAAGTAAAAAAAACGACGGGACGCAAGTGTCCCTGTCACTCGATGATTTCCAACGAATGTGCGCGTTGGATTTTCACGGATTTTGCTCTCCTCGCGAGAGAGGGATACCGAAACAATTGAATCGTCGGCCAACGTTTCGCACAACGCAGGAAACACAGTCCTTCGCGCCAGTGTAGTTTTTTTTTCTTCCAGCTGGTCGTTGTCTTTCCGCGTTGCGATCCCATCCACCTGTGTCGGTGCTTGCGATAATTGTCGGCGATAGATGCGTTCCCCGGAACGCGTTTCACGGCGCGCTCGCGGGAAACCAGGGGAAAAATCGGTGCAACGTCCTGGTTTTGCAAAAAAGAAAAAAAAGAAAAAAAGAAAGAAAGAACTCACGATTCACGGTGAATACAGAACGTCGCGGAAATGAACGAACGGACTGTTCGGCGTAAATCTTCCGCTGAAGAATGAACTCTAAGAACTTTGTTCGTGCAGCGGCGTTAGAGAACGATGGAAAATAGTCGTGAATTCTCTCCGACGTACCACGTTTCATGTCGTGCAAAGCTTCCAATGGTCGGCAAACTTTTTTTTTTTGGAAACGCGACGTCTAGTATCGCTACTGCGATCATTATTCGCAACTTCTCAACTCGACTTGATTTATTTTCGTGTCAAGAATAATAACTTATAAAATAATAATAACCTGTAAAATAATAACCTAATAAATTAAATAAAAATAAAAATTTAACCTAAACCTAATCCAAACCTAACCCGCGGTCCGGATGAAAACAAGGTGGCGGGGCCGTACGTTCGCCAATCGTCCTGCGAATCGTTTTCCGTGGACGTGAAACTGACCTAAGCGAGGATAATGATGAATAATCCATGGAGCACGTCTCGAAACAATGTACACGCGACCGGACGCACGGGAATTTCAGAGTGTTTTGGCTAACGAGTGATTTGCATGGAACAATCGGGGACGCCCGAGTACGTGGAATCGGGGCGAACCAGTTTCCAATCGATCCGGCGTACGTTCGTAACCTCTTTGAACGCGCGTAACTCAACAAGCTCTTTCGTTTCTCGTTCTACGTTCATTACGCTCTACGCTTTGAAATTCTTCTTTCGCCAGTTAATATTGTCATTTCGACGTGAAAAAATTAAAAGTAAATCAAATTGCGCGCTCTAACGCAATAATCAATTGTCGAGTTGAGATGTTGCGAATAATGATCGCAGTGGCGATACAAACGTCGCGTTTCCAAAAAAGAAGTTTTCCGACCGCGGATTAATGTAGTTTTTACAGAATAAAATTAAAAATAAATCAAATTACGTGCTGTAACGCAATAATTAATTGTCGAGTTGACAAGTTGCGAATAATGATCGCAGTGGCGATACAAACGTCGCGTTTCCAAAAAAGAAGTTTTCCGACCGCGGATCAATGTAGTTTTTACAGAATAAAATTAAAAATAAATCAAATTACGCGCTGTAACGCAATAATTAATTGTCGAGTTGACAAGTTGCGAATAATGATCGCAGTGGCGATACAAACGTCGCGTTTCCAAAAAAGAAGTTTTCCGACCGCGGATCAATGTAGTTTTTACAGAATAAAATTAAAAATAAATCAAATTACGCGCTGTAACGCAATAATTAATTGTCGAGTTGACAAGTTGCGAATAATGATCGCAGTGGCGATACAAACGTCGCGTTTCCAAAAAAAAAGTTTTCCGACCGCGGATCAATGTAATTTTTACGTAATAAAATTAAAAGTAAATCAAATTATGCAATAACCGATCGTCGAGTTGAGAAGTTGCAAATAATGATCGCAGTGGTGATACAAACGTCGCGTTTCCAAAAAAAAAGTTTTCCGACCGCGGATCAATGTAATTTTTACATAGTAGAATTAAAAGTAAATCAAATTACACAATAACCGATCGTCGAGTTGAGAAGTTGCGAATAATGATCGCAGTAGCGATACAGATGTCGCATTTCTAAAAAAAAAAAAAGTTTGTCGATCACTGGACTAAACGATCTCATACGACATGAGAGGATGTTTATGCGCGATTGCGGGGTGATCTCTCTCGCGCGCGACGTGTCGCAATCGATTATCTCGTTGGGACGATTGAAAGATGGCGGCATCGACGGAAAATTAGGCACGTCCGTGCGTAAATCAGCCGACACCCACATGGATATTCAAATGCCGCTGCTTTCGTGCAGTTTCGGATCGATCGAGGGTGATGCAATTTTCTTGTCCCCTGCTTGTCTTCCACTTTGGACGTTCAAACGACTGGTGGCAACCAAACGAAGCCAAGAAGGGCCGTCCGGTGATTTATGGAACGTCATTAAAGAGACTAGACGTCGCCTTGTAAAAGGCCTCGCCTTTCGAGCACACCTAACGCGAGGCTCACGATCTCGTTTCCAAAGGGAAGAGACATCGCGTCGCGCAACAGCCGGATCGGTAGCCGCGGATTTCGTCAGCGAGGCTGATCGTCGTAGATCGTCGCGGCCCACGCGTGCCCTTTCTTCATTCACGGGCATCTCTCACTCGCCTCCGCCGTCGCGATTACGTGAGACCGCTGGGAAACGAGTTCGACAACAAGTGGAAATGGGCGACGCGCGCCTCGAACTTGGGAATGAATCGAAATTGGGAAGGCTGGACGCGCTGACTCCCCTGGGACGGCGGAGGACGGGGAAAAGGGGTGGTTTCGCAATTGCACAATCCACCGGTGAATGGGTCGCCGAGTTTCATTCATTTCTCGTCGGCTGGAAGCGCTGGGAGCACGCGTGCAACCTTGCTCTATGCCTAGGCAGTTATGGCAGGCGTGACTAGGCCGGAGGTTCCGATTATGATAAAGCGCGTGGGCGAGCCCACGCTCGCCCTTCGCTCGTTCATTCATAAATTCAGCTCTCACCGCGTGCCGCGAGCGCGAGTGCGAGAAAGAGAGAGAAAGAGAGAGAGAGAGAGAGAGAGAGCGACGAGAACCAGGGAGAAAGCCAAGCGAGAGAAAGAGAGAAACCGAGCGTCTTGGCCGTCTACTTGCACGACAAGCGTGTGCAGCGATGAAGCCGCTTGTCCGCTCCTTTCGACAACCTCCCCCGATGCTTTCTTCTTCGTCTCTCTCCGAGACGTTGTAACGTCTGCCGTTCTCGACGTACAAACTCATTTCTCGGATTGATCTTTGTACGGACGGAGTCGACGTACACTCGCGATAACAGGATGATCGAACGTGTTGATACTCGTCAAATGGAAGATAGAGTAATATCGATGGTCGACGTTGATGAGGGTGGTAATGGGTCGAAGCTTAGTCGCGATTTGTTCACTTTGTTTTTTTTACTATCTCGCGGCAAATAAGAACATTATTATATGTGCGTACGACAATGAGGAGGTTTGCTTCTTTTATTATGATGCCAGATGTATACGGTATCTATCAAGGTATTTTAGAATAATCACATAATAAAAATATATAATATTCTTTAGGCATCAGGACGAGCTTTTTTTTTTTTACTTGTTCTATTCGACAGCGGGATATTTATACGGTTAAAGAAATTGTTGTAAGAGGTTGTCGTTATTAATCTAATGCAATTCGGGAAAAGATCGGTTACAACTGTTAATTTCTTATTAAATTTGAGGTTAGACTTTCGTTAGAAAGTTTATTTGAAAAAAATAATTCTACGCTCCTGTCAAATTGTTACCAGGAAAATCAAAATGTATTCGACAGTTTAATACATATGTATACGATAAGAATTTGTTGTGAGAACAAGTTTTCTTTCGTCTAGTGTAATTCGGAAAAGACCGGCTACAGATAAAACAGTCAACCTCTTAAAAATTTGACGTCATGTTCTTGTTTGAAAAATTAAAGTTTGCTTAAAAGAAATTCTAGGCCATTGTGAAAATGTTACCGGGAAATTCAAAAAAGATTCAACAGTGAAATATTTGTACGATAAGAAGTTATTCTAATGAAAAATCTTTCTTAATCTATCGCAATTCGGAAACAACTCAAAAGTTTGAGGTTAGATTTTCATTTGAAAAGTTAAAGTTTGTTTGAAAAAACAAAACATTCGTAGCGAAAGAGTTAATAATATTACACGAATCAATACGAAAAACGCAACAAGTTTCACGTACAACGATGCGTTTTCTACGAGTGCTTGCCCTTCTTGGCTGATTTCAAATTCAAATTCAAACACATTTGCCGCCATTTGCTTTCTCCTGTATTTTCTCGTTATCGACGGTGGCCGCTGTTCCGCTCGATAAAAAAAGTATACACGCCGCCACGCATCGTTTCGGTTCAAACATCGACGCGAGCAAACAAAACCTCGACGAAAGAAGGAAGTGTAATTTCCACTCGGTACTGGAGAGAGATGAAATCCTCGCGACGATCTCTAGGTTAGTGAGAGATCGTTATCTCGATCGTCGGCTAATAAACGTCAGACTGTGTGTCGCGTGACATACAGAACGAATTGGCGTCCGAGGCGTCACCGGCGTGTTACGCTCTTATATCCCGGGTCTTATCTCGCAAATTCCCTCGCGTAGCCGAGAGTCGGCGCTCGCGTGCGCGCTGCTTCGCACATAATCGAGGCCACGGCGCGGGAGCTCGGAAAGCCGCCGGCCGGCAGGTTTCCAAAGCGGTCTCGGAATCGGCCGGACGATTATGCCGACCGGTCTATTTCTAGAAAAACGTCCGAGTCGGCGGCCACACTAATTATTTTTTACCGGCTCGTTACCACTCGTCTTTGGCAACCGAGCAATGGCTCGGCAACCGAGAGAGGATAATGGAACCGTAGAAGGGGTAAAGGACGTCGAGATTCGCGAGATATCCACCGGTGACCGAGTCTCTGACAAAAGAGAGAGAGGGTTCGAATTCGGAGAGAAGAGTGTAACAAAGTTGTGCTTGTTAATAAAAATACTGCGCATCAGTACGAGAGTACTATTGTCTGAAACAAACATTTGTCGAGTGGATAGCCGTGGTTTTCCACCATTTTCGCCGTTCACTTCCGAACCGT